ACTGTTACTGTTAGTGTTACTGTTGCTGTTACTGTTACTGTTACTGTTACGGCTACGGTTACTGTTACTGTTACTGTTACTGCTACGGTTACTGTTGCTGTTGCTGTTACTGTTACTGTTACCATTACTATTACTACTACTATTACTATTACTATTACTATTACTATTACTATTACTATTCCTATTCCTATTCCTATTACTAGTACTAGTACTAGTACTACCGCAGTAGTACTATTGTTACTACTACTACTACTACTACTACTACTACTATTACTACTACTACTACTACTACTACTACTACTACCTACTACTATTATTGCTGCTACTACTACTACTACTGCTGCTGCTGCTACTACTACTACTACTACTACGACTGCTACTGCTACTGCCACTGCCACTGCCACTGCGTCTGCCACTGCCACTGCCACTGCCACTGCTACTGCTACTGCTACTGCTACTGCTGCTGCTGCTACTACTACTACTACTACCACTACTACTACTACTGTTACTGCCACTGCCACTGCCACTGCCACTGCAACTGCAACTGCCACTGCTACTGCTATTGTTACTGCTGCTACTGCTACTGCTACTGCTACTGCTACCATTACCACCACTACTACTACTACTACTACTACGACTACTACTACTACTACTACAACTACTACGACGACTACGACTACGACTACGACTGCGACTACGACTACGACTACCACTACCACTGCCGCTGCCGCTGCCACTGACACTGCCACTGCCACTGCTACTGCTATTGTTGCTGCTGCTGCTGCTACTACTACTACTACTACTATTTATACTACTATTTACATCCACATTACTGTTTGTTTGGCTCGCCAAACCAGCTTCAGGATGTGACTGTATTAGCCGCAAAATGCGCTCATCCACACTCCGCATCCGACCACATCAACTGACCCTTCCGCCTATGTCGCCGCAGGCTACAACAAGTGCAAGTGTATGCACGGTAGTGATTATCACACAATGTGTCGGCAACCAAGTCTGGGGCAGGATGCAGACGGCAACTTCAACCAGGCCTGTTACTCTCCTTTGGATGAAGCATGAGAGGCGAAGGTTCGTGTGCGAATTTCTCCTTACGGCACCCCAAGCATTAGTAGCAGCTTTGCAGCTTCATGCCAGAAGCTTCCTCCCGCTCCGAAGTCCGAAACCATCCGAAACTTTCTTGTTTTCTGAAGAGGCCCTCCAGTGGCTTTGCACCCACGGGGACGCAAAGTGAAATGGCTGAATTACCGGTGGTCTCCGCATGCTGCACTCAGGGTTGTTCGAAGGATTGCCCATCGATGCACAGAGTAGGATGCAAGGGGCTTTTCCTTGTAATATGCTGTAATGGTATATCTAATCGGTGCTAGCGTTCGGCGAGAGGTTCAGCAGATCCCAATCTGCTAGCTCCCGATCTCTATCGGGTGAACTCTGCAAGCCCCAGACCAAGCAACATGTCGAAGGATCACCAGCCACCCGGTCGTCTGCTTGGCTGCTGACACAGTCTGGTTTCGCTTCGCCGTCTTCTACTTCATTCTGGGAGACTTGGCGAGCGCACGCTCAAACTGGTACTGCACATCCGCAGAGGGCAACCTTGGTGGTGGGTGAAGGTGAAGCCATTCGAAGTCGCTTGTTAAGGTGGGAGGGGTCGATTTCCAGCTTGCATAGTGCCTCAGGACGGTTCTACTTCCTGCTCACGGCCTTGGTCTTCGCCACCAGCCAAGCCTTTCTCTTTCATCACGATTATAAGGAGACCTTCGAGGACCGAAGCTGTCGCACACCTAATCTCTTCTCTGATAGAAGGTCCAACGCTGCACTTTCTACTGAGCAGAAGATGTACTTTCCAAGCTGGTCGATGGAGCCGGTATGCTTCTTCAGTGCCAGGGCCAGCCCTTCAAGTGTGCAGGCTCCACAGACTCCAAAGTCCCATGCTGATCCTGCCCCGTGAGCCGTTGTCTCACATAGGAGAATATCGTCACCCTCTGCTGCCGCGTCTTTATCTATCTGGGCTGTTTACCATCGATGATGTTCAACCTCACCAGGCACTGCGGGGGAGTGCGAGGTTGCTCTGCACATCTTGTTCTCGTCCTCAGGAAGCTGTACGGCGACTTTAAGCAGGGATCCGTCACACGCGTCTGCGGAACCGTGGCTGACAGGGGGACTTTTTGGAGCGCTCGGCCGACAAGTCTCCCCTTTGCTGTTGCTCTCGCTGCGTCCGCCTAGGATGTTGCCCGATGCCTGACAGCTTGAAGAGTTTTCAGGTGGTGTCCAGCTCAGCGAGAGATTCTTGGAAAGTTGTCTTGAACACTTCAAGCTGTGAGGTCGGTCAGCTTGGTCTGATGTGGACCTTCGTGTTCATGCTGCTCAGCTTTGACAGCCGGCTAGATTACCGGAAGACGGTGAGGGTTCTTGTGCAAATTTCCGGCTCATCAGCCTGTTCGCAAGAACGGCACGAGCAAGATGCTTGAACACTCAATTGTTGAGCTTCGGTTGGCTTGCTCCTAAGCTCAGACCAGGTTTGCCCTGGAGCCCATTACTTACTGTGTCAACTCCCGCGCGGCCTCGTGCCGTGGAGGCAAAATTCGATGGTTTTGGAGCTGGCGGAAGGGTCTGGCAACCATATGGATCAGGCTTCAGGGCGGGGTAAGTCGGCCATGGCACCACGTGATTCTAGGACAGTCTTGATCTTGATTGGCGTAGGCGCCGACAAAGTAGTGGCACTCACTTCGGTCGGGCAGCAAGCCGCTTGAAATGTTTACTGTCTTTCTCCGATGCTACAGTCTGTTACAGTGCAGGTTAGTGTAGGCAGTGGACTCTAGACTTTCAATTCAAACTCACATCCCAGGAACTATGAGCTGTTCTCGGTGCTTTGTCCCGAGGGGCAACAGGTCGGCGAAGCGAATCCACGGCAATGACTTGTCTCGCACAAGACGAGAGAGGTTTAGGATTCCGTACACTGCCGTACACTTGAATCGCAGTCGTCTCGATTTCGTTGAGAATCTGTTCTGCGGGTGCTGCAGATCATGGACGTCTACTCCATCCTGAGCTCCATTGCTCTGCTGATATACTGGTCGCCCGGAGAATTCGGGGGCCTTTGAGTTTGTCTTGGGGCTTTGGACCGGCGGCTTGCTGGTGTATGCAGAGCGCGGGCGTGCGCTAAACAAGACTTGCGAGTGTGCTTCGTGCTCTCGAGGTTCCTCCTTACCGATTTCAGCCTCCTGTCCATGCGCGTGTCGGCCTTCTTGCTGGTTTGCTTCTACCTGATCTCCGAGGCCGAAAGACTTTTTTGAGGGCTTTCAAACGAAAAACTGATGAACGGGAGCATCTCCAGAAGGATTGAGAGATTTCTTGCTCAAGTGGCCCCAGGCTTGTGGAGGTGGTTCCGGAGTGAACCGGGATGCCTGATTCGAAACGTGATGTTGTGTGGACATTCAGGTAAGGCCGACATACCGAGGCCGGAATTGGCTTCTGCGAAATTTTGTGCTCGGGAACCTCTGATCCCGTGAATACATGCGTGGCGTGATCACACTGTGAAATACGCAAACATGAAGATATTCGAAAAACAAACCGCTAGTGGAAGCCTGAGCAGCAGCAGCAGCAGCTGCTGCAGCAGCAGCAGCTGCAGCAGCAGCAGCAGCAGCAGCAGCAGCAATAGCTGCTGCTGCTGCTGCTGCTGCCGTTGCTAGGGATCAGAGAGGGCAAGAGCAGAGCTCGATTGTAGGTGGTTCTCTTCGTCCTGGCTTTGACCTTTCTTATCTTGGCCTTCTCGACTGCACCTTGCTTGCACCGGAAGACGGGGGGCTCCAGGCAGCCCTTTCTGCTCTTAGCTGTTGAGGCCATCTCAGCGTTGAACCACCACATTGAAGACTTCGAGACTGTTGCACCGGCTGCAAAGCATATCTATGGACGGTGTATGGTCCAGGAATGTCTAGGATCGAAGTGCACGGCTTCCAGCACATAAGGGTAACATCGCAATGCTCAGACAGTCGTTGCCTGAGGTTCCCGCTTGGATGCGTGCTCTCCTCCAGATTTCTTTGGGCATGTTCCCGAATACGCATCTGTCCGGCACTAGCAATTCTCGAGGACAACTTGCGATTTGGCAACCGTTGCGAGGTTCGCACGTCGAGGGCTCGATAGGTAGGAAGCTAGTAGCAGCTAGTACCACTAAATGTGAGGAAATGTCGCTGATGCGGTCAGCATAACATAGGCAAAAGTCCGAGCCCCCTTGCCTTTAAACTGTGACCGCCAACGAAGGCATTACGACGACTTCCAAGTGGAGGTAACTGTGCTGGTGCGCCCTTGGCCTTTGCCTTTCTCTGCAAATGACAGCACGCGTCGATGTGCCTGCATCGGGCAGGTGGGAGGGTTGCTGACCAGGTGGCCATCTCCGTGTTTGTCGCTTTAGTCTTCATCTTCTTGGTGTGACTTGGCCTGGCTTCAGACTACGGCTCGTGCGGTGACGGTAGCTACAGCGTTTGCCCGCAACAGGCACCGGGTCGGAACTCAAAATCAGCTGCATCCAAGGAACCTGCTGATAGCGCAGCTCAACCAGGCATACCATAACATGTTTGAAGACATCTACGGCAACGCGCGCCTCACCCGAGCCGCTGTTGCTAGACGGCACGAAGCCTTGCCGCAGCAACAGCAATCAAGTGCTAGCAAGCTCGTCTGTTCCAGCCTTCCTCTGCAGGTTATCGTGCAGGTGATGGCCCAGGCGCGGATGATGCGGATGCATCTAGCAAAACTGCATGTCGTCTTGAAGCCCGCAAGCAACCTTTCTGAATGGGACTTACGATGACTTACGTTCCAGCACTCTAACAAAGCATTGCTTGTGGCATGTTTGAGAGAACTGGATATCTCGTAATCTGCACCATGCTGACGACACGCTGCTTGCACTAGCTACATTTACATGTCATCCAGCAGCCATGCTGCTCTGACCACCACAAAGACATCCAGCGATGGTTAGGCCTTTGAAGCTGAGGTGCCACGAAAACGCTGGCAGAATTTCCTCAAGAGGCTCGCCTTCGATCAGCCGCTGGAATTCAACGAAGGCGGGCACACGGCAATCGAAGGGGAAGCATCGAGAAATCGTACGAAATTGAAATGGCATCTGCCTGGATTTGTCTTACCTCGCAAGTACGCAGCATCGAGACCGAATCGCCTGATGCTCGCTTGAACAGGTGACGTGGGAATTGCTGGAGGCATTCAAATTCTGGAGCCTGCGCGCCTTGCCTTGTTGTTGGCCCGGCAGCTCGTTCTGCATTCCCGCGTCACGGAAAGAGCAGAGCATCCGCAGGCCCTGCGGAACCATGCAGAACCCCCAAAAAGAGTACTGAGGGTTCGTGGTGGTTGTAAAAAAGCATTCAAAAGTTTTCAGGGAAGTCCAGATCGAGATGCCGCGTGTGAGAATAGATGTTCTTGTAAGAAGAGCTGTTTTCTGGACCAGGCTAAACTTTGCTCCGCACCGAACATGCCAAGGAGCGCAAAAATCGTCACCTCGGACGCTGTGAAGCGTACCCTGCTGCAGACGGGGCAGTAGTGTCGAGTAGTACAATACATCATTGCCAGAAAGGGCTCGTATGGGGCTATTGAGATACTCGAAAGCCGCATGGCCGGCCAGTGTGCAGGTTTCGGGAGACTGAGACAAAGAGCTTTGCAGGGTTTAGGGCGATGACGGGTTGCGCTTCGATAGTTGGGTCGGCCGCAGGTTACGGCGGCTCGACAGCTCCGACAATGCCTTGGCCAGTTGAGGCTCACAGACACAGACACAGACCTGTCAGCTCGTCTCATTGAGAAGCAATAAAGCCCTTTGCCACAGGAGACAGCCAACCTCACCGATGAGGATCGCTTCGATCGTCTGGAAAAGATGAGTCTTGCCAGCAGCGAAGCATAGCGAAGAAGTCCCAAGAGTTCACTGCAAGGCCGGATGTTTGGCAGCCGTTAACCGGAACTACAATCGCGTTTCTTTTCCGAGGATTGCGAAGGTGACTTCAGCCAGGCTCAGCTCGCCGAGTCGCCGCGTCGTCTCGTCTCTGCTTACGACGGCCTAGCACTCCCTCTGTCAGGGGCAAGGATCGTCGAAGAGGAGGCTCCGCTGCTGGATCAAAGGCAAAGAGCGGGTATGACGGGGTTCAGGGTTCCGAGACGTTCCGAGTTTGAGGAGAAACCTTGGGTTGAGTTCCCCCGGCTTTGCATCGAGGTGAGCACCGTTCTCAGCCCACCTCGTGCAGCGTTGTAGCCACAACGGGTCGCATCAGCCAAAGGTCTGTGGGTGCCGGTGTAGTCAATTTGGAAGTTTGGCAACGTGCCGTCTGGAAACGTTCCGGTTTGAGCTTGCTTTGCAAGTGCTTGGGCTCTTCCGGTCGAACTTGTGCATCTCCAACATCAGGCAAAGCCTCAATCAGCCGAGTCCGTGGCCAGTCATCGCCCCCAACTCAAACCTCCGAGTCGGTTTCTCGGGAAAGAGGGAGATGTCGGTGCGGTCTTCCTGTGTGCGCGCGCACCAGTCTCAACCTCAACACTCCATGCACATCGGTCAAGTAAGCCGGCTTGGTCTACATCAGGTCGTGCAGACTGCACGAGAGTGCGGCATTGAAGAGTTCATACTCCCGCTTCCTACCTTACCATCCTTTGAGTCGAAGCAACTACAGCGTCTACACAAATCCCTACCTCTTCTCAGGTTGAGCTTTCCACCGAATGTATTTCGACTGTCGGCAGGCGAGCCATTTGGGCTCTTCCATGGGCAGCTCCAACGCCAGTTCTTAAGGTGGGGCCTCCGGTGCTCCAGCGCCAGGATCAGAAGATGTCTCAAGTAGAATCTGCAGCCAAGAGCACAGGTGTTTCCCACGCCGCTGTTCGGTGAGAACAAGGTCGCACTGATGCTGTGTTACTAAGGTCGTGGGTGCAGGTGGGACGAAGCATGATCATAGTTCAAAGTGAACATGGTAGTTGATCTTGTCAAGAATCCGTCACCTGAAACGCGAAAATTCGGTGCATGTTGCAGCGCTGCAAGTTAAGCTATATCAGCAGCAAAGCAAGGCCGAAGCCTTCATGTGAAAGCAGCAGATGCAAGCATTCGGAGAATACACTGGTGGGGACCATGTGAAAATCACACTGCCTCCCTGGCCGTTGCTCGTTGGCTGCAGGCGTTTGTTGCAGCCTGCAGGGGATTTAGCAGGAGATTTGCTTGTTTGAACAATTGCACGGCTTCGGAGCCGGAATCACTTTGAAGCCTGGATGTGTCAGAAGCGCTCGGTGTCAATCGTCGCCGGCTTCAGAAGTCACCAAACGCAAGAGAAACATGAAGCATCCCAGGCTTCAGAGGATTGTTTTTGTTTTGCATCAACAAGGTTTACGAGTTTTTGAGTAATGCAGTCCTGACAGAGGCAGGCTGCCGGATGAAATGTTTTCGAAAGCTCCCGTCCGGGGAAGATGGGCGCTGCAACATGACGGAACCCAAGAGCTTTCAGGCAGGCCGAGGGCTTGCCTCCGTGTCTCAACTAACTATCAGTTGCAGTGCCGACTGTTACATTTTTTGCATTACAATTCATTTTAGCATCTGTCCCTGCACCAGAGTTGACCAGCACAGCGATGCCTCCATGCTGTAGCTTACACTTTTGCTGTGGTGAGATTCGTGTTGAGAAAGTGGCTGGCGTGATTGGGGTCGGTGGAGAATTGGATACCCGCCGAGCTGGGCAGGATTCTGCGACCTCAGTCACTCGCAGCGTTCGGCTGCCCGTTAGACTTCCGATCAGACTTGATCCGACTCTGCTGAGCAGAGAAGACCCCGAGTGACGAATGCCTTTGTGCCCAGCAAAGAGAGGTGGCAGTTGGTCCAGATGTCAGAATGCGCGAAACGGCAGTTAGAAGATCTGAGCAGAGACTTCCTAGTCTGCCGACACGTTTGGGCTTCCCAAAGTCGGTCTTCGGTGAACGTATGATTGCAGCTGTTGATAAGGCAAGCTTTCTGAATGCTGCAGACGAAGCTGCTGATTCAGACGCAGCCGCTTGGATGGACGACGCATGATTTGCAGACGGGTTTTGTCTGGCAGCAGAACTCGCATGGTCTAAGCGCGTCCGCAACAACTTTGAGTGTGGGGTCGGCACGTTGAAAGTGTGGAAGAGTGACTGGCAGTCTCGAGACTAGCTTCTGTCCCTGCCCTACCGGTCCGTGCATGTCCATAGGACTGTCCTGCTAGTTACTTCTGCAGTATCTTCCAGGTACCGTGCATGTGCAACTGCTCGCTGCGCGCGTCCGTGTCGAAGCAGCGAGGCCTCCATTACCGTGGAGGAGGAAGGCAAGGAAGTGCTGGAGGAGGCACCGCTGGAGATTCCATGGCAGAAGGGCCCTGTCGTGCCTCCGTCTCTTCGACTCGTGGATAGAGAAACGCTAAACTGGGCAACGTTTGGGCCAAGGGCCCGCAGCGTAGCACAGCAGATCTGAAGACAAGTCTGGGACGTGGAAACGTTGCGATCAGAAGTTGTACACTAATTCTCTACAAGCATTTATGCGACAAGCAGGCCCGTGCTGCTGAAACAGTGGCAAAACGCTGCTTTGCTGGAATGGTCAATAACTGCCCAACCTAAATATGTTTTGGTTAGATAATGCAGAGCCGATGCTTGCAAGCAGCGCGCTCAAGCTCAGTCAGACTCCGGAACAGAATGTGCAGCACAGAGACCGTTGTAGAAGTGCCAGGAGGACCCTTGCGAAGCATCACATCTATCCAGGTCTCTGCTCTCCTGTCCTTCCGGTCTTGCCACAAGTCTTTGCATTGTCCAGACAGGAAGCCCACAGCATGTTGTTTTACATAGTGTGAGTAGATGTCTCGCCGGCTTCAGCTCTTTCGGGGTTTGCAAGCCGGTAGGCATACGCTGGCTGAGGTGCCGTACGCTTCGCTTGGGTTGGATGCCGAGTGACGGGTGTTTCCATGGTCTGGGGACGCTTGCTTTGGCGCTTCGCAGCCGTGCGTATGGGGACTTCACTTCGTGTCTCGCTCTGGGGGCCTTCTTGAGGATGGGCTTTTGAGCTTTGAGTTGAACACACACAGCGTTGAATGAGTTCCTTTGCTTCTTCGTGCTTGGAGGGAGCGGTCTTCATTTGCGGCATCGGCGTGAGCATTGATATCATCGGGGCGAGCTTGGACTACCGGGCGACTTTGCGAGCCAAGGAACACTCCGAAGTTCCTTTAAAAAGAAGTTTTTGGGATTTTAAGGTCCTGCCTTCCAGAAGATCAGTGGCAGACCTTTCAGGTTGTTCCGTGTCTATTAACAAGTAGTTTGCACCGGGATTTTCAGCACTCCGAACAGGTTCTTTTCCAGGGGTGCAAAGCTCGTCTTGTGGCATGGGACCCAACGTTTTCTCAGGCAATCACATACTTCTTGGACCTGACAGAATAGCTGTACTAGTGTTTGTCGTCTGCTGACGACATAACCTCAGATTCCCTCCTTGCTCCCTCCCGCCGTCCCTCACACAACAGCACGGCGTGCTCCTGACACACAGGAGGACCTGGACGAGGAGGAAGCCGATCTGGAGGTACCCATCTCAGGCTTCTGACTTTGCTAGTGACTGCTCCTTCTGCTCTTCATGCAACGGGTGCGAGCTCAAGGCCACAGGTTGGCCACGCTGGCTCCACCAAACGGAGGCCTGATGCTTTGACGGCCCCACGCACCGGCACGGCCCAAAGAAAGACCGTCAAGTGCGACTCTCCCCGACTGTGAAAGCGCAGCATGCAACGGGTGTGAAAAGGAGCTGCCTCCTAAGCCTGCTGGTGCTGCTCATACTGGTAGCAGAGCAGCTGAGCACATGTGAGATCTTTTGAGCCGGGGTGGTCAGGGCCTTCCACATCAACTGAAACAGTGGACACAGGTGGACTACACAAACTGGCAGGGAGCTGTGGAACAAACTTCAGGACAACGCCACTTTGAAGCAACACCCAGCCATGCAGCATCCCGATAGCAGGCACACCAAGCGACAGGCACCACATCCACATCATGAGCAGTGAGATTGTGTGAACAATCACTCCATCAATGCTGCTATTGCTGAGTGGGAGTAAGGTAAACTTCTCCTCTTAGAGTGGACAGGAGGAAGGTGCTACGATTTGATCGGACGGTTGTTCACAAAATTCGCGTTTCGGCTTAGCATCACTTCTAGCTCAAGCGAGCATGGACACCTTTGCTGGCCATGCCCTCACTGGGACAAAGGCGACGGGTCCTTTTTGGTGAAGCCATCCGAATCCTTCGCTCAGATTTGGAGCCCAGCCAGCTGTCGCAGCTCGACAGCGCGGCTCCATGGGTGCTGAGCCCCAGCAGGGTCCTCGGCGCTGCGGGAAAACGCTCTCTTCTTGCCGATGTTTAGGGGAGCGCCAGGTCGGCGCGCCTCTGCTGGCAGGGGCCCGGGTGCTAGCGCGTCCCCACAAGGCCGGGCTGCAGGTCTCGCCCTTGCCCTGGGTTTGGAGCTCTGCGTAAGCCTTGCGCACCAGCTGTCGTGCTGGTGACTAGCTCCTACTAGTATCCTTCCACTTCGTAATGCCATCCAGGGAACCTGTTCGGTCTTCTGAAATCACTGGAAGCAGCAGACCCATCAGACAGCAGCTGGGTGCAGCCAGTAGACCGCCGCTGTTTACCTGTCCGATTGCCACCGCAGAAGGCCTGGCGCAGACGGCCTTGACCAGCTCCTATCCAAAGCTGGAAGGCAAGCTGGGTGACAGCCACAGTGAAATTCAAGGTTCGGTCTCATTCGGTTGGGTCCTCATGTCCTCGGAAGCTACTTCGCCATCCCGCAAGGGCTGTTCATGGCAGTCCTCAGATTTTGATTCTGAAGCCCGACCACTCGGAGGTCTGCAGCCTGAGCCGGCCCCTGCCCTGACTGGCAGCACGGCACTTAGTTCCCCGGCCGGAAATGTCTCCGCCCGTCTTACTCTCGCTAAAGCCGCTAAGGTGTTCAGCAGGTTCCTCTCCAGACGCTGCTGCCCGGGCAAAGCCTGCGGCCAAGAGCCTCGTTGTTTGTATAGAAGCCAGGCGAAGATCCGAGGCCCCAGGCCGTACTACAGCTACACTGCACCGCCTCCAGCACCGCCGGCAATGCTCGCCAGTGAAGGTCTCAGGAGCCGCGAGCACCACGGCAGACAAGTCACGTTTGCGCAGTGTTCTATCTCTGATCTTTGGCGTCGTGCTTTAGCTTTGTAATCTGCTGGGGGTTCCTTGTGTCACACGATGTCACACGTGGTCTCAGGGGGCCAGCCATCTGCTTACGTGCAGCCCTGCACGGGGCTTGGCCCTGCGCTTCGCTCCAGCGGCCCCGTCCCTCGGCCCTTTGAAGGTTCCACTGGCTATCGGTACGCGCCCAGCGTAACGAGCAGCAGGGCACCGAGCTTCGGAAAGAGCACGAGTCAGACTGAAGAGATGTGACAGTTCAGACCTCAGCCTCAGTACTCGTACCGTATCTTCCGTATCCTCTCAGGTTACCGGGAAGCGACTTCGAATCTTGGCAGCTTCAATGTGCCAGCGACACCGGCAGAAGGCGCCGGTGCCACTTCACAGCAGCCGTCCGATGGCCCTGAATCCCTGAATCCCTGGACACTTCGTGCAGGTGCTCCCCGCTACTCCCTGCCCGCTGCCTCAAGCCCGACGCGCTGGAGCCCAAGCTTTGTGAGGAACGGGGCACCAGGGAGGAGTCCATCTCTGTACTCAGAGTGCCCAGAGCAACCCGATGCTCCGAAAGATGTGCGAAGCCGAGGGCATCCAGGGCTTCCCACCGAGCCGGTTCAGTACCGCCCCCGGCTGTGGGCATTGGCAGTAGAGCAGGAGGCCCCTGTATTTTGCAGACCTGGCAAGGCTTCCCGTCCCGCTGCAGCCGGCCGTTGCCTGGCACACAAGCTAAGCAAGCCAAATAATAACTTTGCTCAACAGCTTTCCTTGAATTCGCTGGAAGCAAGGAGGAAGGGCTCGGCCTGTTTCGTTTCCTTAGGCCGTGCAGTCGGGCGAAGTGCAATCGACGGTAGTTCCCGATCTGCCAGGCCCTGAGTCTGAAATCACCTCGGACAAGTCTGTTGCTTCGATATGTTTTGACATTGGGAGAGGGCAGGTCTGCAGCATCTCATCGTTTGCTAAAAACTCACAGCTCTTTCCTTTGAGGCGACTCCGGTCTGAGCTGCCTCGCGCGGCATTGCCTGCCAGCCAGGTGCAGTGGAAGAGCGCTGTGAAAGAGGATTCCTTTTGGAGTCTTCACAGGATCTTCACCCTGCCCTGCACTGATCCCTACTTCCGGAAGTTCAGTCAGCTTTCAGGTGCTCACAACCGGACAAAACGGGTGGACATCTCAGTGTCGTGTGTAGCGCGCCTCCCCTTGTTTCAGTGCAGTTCTCGCCGGCTTCAAAAGTGTATTTCGATTTACACAGAACCGAGCAAAGATTGCATCGACATCCTTGCAAGGCTCTGATGTTTTCAAGTGTTTTGATTTGAGTTACTCTTAAGCTGGGATGAGTGCGGTATCTCGCAGCGACCCAGTGTCTTGAGCCCTTGCTCTCCCAACTCTTGCCACCGTAGCGGCTGGCTGAATCTGACCCAGAAGCGAAGCCTTCGCTGAGGCTGCCTGCAGTCTCAGGGGCCAGAGCAGCCATCAGTTTGCCCGGTGTTGTGCCTTGGCTGTGAAGGGCAAGTGGCTGGAGGATTCGAAAGCTTTCCGATCGCAGAAAGTGCAGTGACGTGAAGCCAGGTGCAGAACAAGCTGGCAGCCTCGCTGGCGACCTCTCAGCTTGTGGCTACAGAGTGGAAGCCTCTGCTCAGAGCCAGGGTCCTAAACGCGCTTCCTCGGACCTTGGGAGGTCTCCCAGCTTGGAACGCACAGAGAAGCCGGCGGTGGAGGCTTGGCTTTGTAAATGCACCAAGGGACAGCTGAAGAAGGCGGTGGGTACCTTACCTACAGAGATCACCTGTTGAACCGACAACATGCCACAGCCCGTCGCTTGGGAGCAGGTTCTCTCGCCGACGAAGGTTCTCTCGCCAGCGCACGGACTGCTGCCGTGAGCCCACCACTGGGCAGTGTTCAACTCGCTTTGGTTCTGCGCCTGTCAGCAGGTATGTCATGTTTTTTGTACATGTTCAGTGGCCGTAGCTGCGAAGTGTGGCCAGGCGGGAAGACGGAGATTTCTCGAAACCCAAGGCGAACCGACCTTGGGATTCAACTTGGTGGCGATCTGCCAAAGGCAGGATGTTGAGCTTGGTAAGGGAGGTCGTATCCGTAGCAGCTGATGCTGGCGAAAGTTTGAACATGTTTCAGGGGACAAGCCGAGAAAGTGATCCCGGAACTTGCGGGCAGGGGCTGACATCGCCAGAGGCCAAAGCGGTGCCCGAATCTTACAGACGTGCTGTCACTCTTGTCTAAACAGCTTGTCAGACCGAAGGGATAGTGCGGGCAAGACAGTCAGGGGCCACGACCGGACTCTTGAGCCTTCGAAGTCGAGGTTTGCTTCTGTGATGAGCACCTGCAGCGCAGCACTTTTCCGAGCCGCTTGAAGTCAACTTGAGGCCGAGCTACGCAGCGTCCAACGGTGGCTCGTCCACCGCCCCTTTCTCGGGACTGTCCTTCGTGGCAAAGCGCTTTAGCACTGCCCCGCGAGAAGCTCTGGTCTGAGGCGCGCTCGCTTGGAAGCCCTGGAAGGCTTCGCAGCAAGCTGCCTCCGGCGGATGAAGGCGCTTCGGTAGCCGCTGCTAGCCAAAGCAGATTCTGGACAAGGGGTGATGCGTGGATCGAAGCGTCGCACTAACAAGTCAGGCTAGATGTGCTTGCACCATCATATGACCAGCAGAAGAATCCAACAAGCTTCTGTCGACAAAAGCTGCTACTGTGAAAAAGGGTGTAGTTGCGTTGCCAGTACCATAGCACCATGGAGAGTTTGACTTTGGAGCATTGTAGAATCGAAGTTGTAGGTGCTTGTCCCTTGTGAATCGGTGAATCTTGTTGCTTCGGTGGAGGGCATTGCATCAGGTGACGGTCCGGGGGCCAACTAACCACCGCGCAGGGTGGTTTGATTTCCATTGCATGTGCATGCAGGCAGCACGAGCAGGGCAAAAGTTTGGGGGTAACTCAGCGGTGGAACGCACTGGGCTCCGGGTCTTAAGCTATTGACTTTTTGCCAGCTTGGGGTTCATTTTTTGCTGCATTTCAGTTTGCCTGGACATGCCCTGCTGTGCTCACCGCTCTCTCATGAGCCTGAAACCAAGCACGGGTCCTGCAAGACGAGAGGTGGCTCTCACGCGGCCGGGCTTTCGAAGCGCCTCTCCGCCGGAGCCGACGATGTGGTCAACACCCGGGATCGCTACAGGGGTGAGCCCAAGGCCAGGCCAGGCGAAGAGTCCGTCAGAAAAAGCCATCAACTGCCGATCTCATGATCTTAGAGATTCGCCGGGTCTTGCCAGGCGAAGCTCGGCGGCTTCTTCGACTGCTTGTCCTGCTTCTCAGGCTGACGGGTGGTCTGGTTTCGGGAGTTCAAGAGACCACGGCGACCCGTGAATCAATCATGAATTCTTGAGGTTTGTTCCAGAAGAAGAAGGAGGAGATGGAGGCTGTGGATGTCATCCTGGTTGGAGGCCGGGTCCAGGGTCATCCAGGTTAATGTGCATGACCATCAGGAGCCACACCGTAAGTGTGCTCTTGGAGCTACAAGGTGGCATTATGAGTGCAACCACTGGCCTGCTCTTGAAGCAGCTGGAGCCAAGCTGGCGCATTGTGTCTCGCCTGAATCTTCAAGCCTGCGAGCATCGGCTTGACGACTTTTTGTACTTTTTGCGGCAAAGAGAATGACTTTGTTATCTTCGTTGCCCAGCTGAAGGTGATGATCGAAAGGCTGGATGCTGTTGCTCAGGACGAAGCAGACCCGTTGTCCCATGAAGTGTGCAAGCTTGTGTAGGAATTTGGGCTCCTTGAGATCTTGGCAAATCGGCCTTCCAGCAGATACTTGCAGGAGAGCTCGAATGCCTGGAACAATGCTGGGACCGGTCACTCTGCCCTGTGCGAGCCAAACTACACTCCACAGGCAGAGTAGTTGCTTGCAGCGCGTGAACTCTCATTGGTTTCTGCGCACACTGTCTGAAGCCCCAAGCCTGTGCGAGGCTGGCAAGCACGTTGACATTCACAAGGCTGTCACTGCAGCTTGGTACGTTGGAACGTGTCCCGAGAAGAATCGCATTTGTGCGTGTGCGCACTTGCACCCACAGGCGCCTGAAAAAGCCCCACTGACACAGCCCGCTTCATTCACTCTCGCTCCGCTCGATTTTCCTCCCGCTTCGTCCTCGTCTCTGACTCATGTTCAATGCCGGCTCGCTCGAACTTGGGGGCTCTCAGCATGCCGGAGGTTTCAACACTGCTGGCAGTTGCAAGCATGATTCGAGTCGTAACTGCACGTTGCTTCTCAGGATCGTATCTAACGTCTAACGCTAAGCACGGGGGCGAGTTCAGCTGATCTTGCAAAGGGAGAGACACTTATGATCACTGACGAGAGGGAGCATCTCAGGTCAATGAGAACTTTCAGCTCAGCCGCCAGTACTGGGCCTACTTGGCCAAGCAACTTGGGCTCATGAATCTGGTCTGGAAATCGATTAGTTCCCAGGATGGCGAAGATGGGATCGTTACTGTATGTTACATCTAGTGAATCTAGTGGTTATCTAGTCGTATCTCAGTGCAATATGTGCGCCATCGCAGACCTTGTGCCAGGGCTCTAGGTTAAAAGCTCTAGCTGCCCCGGGCACTCCTGTGCGTACTGCTTCGGTATGACTCCATTGCTTCAGGACTGGCTTGCTGCCTCAGCCGGAGCGATTTATCCATACCACGCCGCACATGACCTTTGCACGTGGCGAGGCGGCTGCATGACAAGTCCAGACATGCTTGAACATGTGTCGCTCATCGGGATGAGCAAGAGACATTCATATACTCGGCTACACGGCTGTGCTGCACAATCCGACTTCGCCCAGCGCAAAGGGCCCGTGCAGAGCCCGCGAGACAGATGTCTTTCTGTGGCCTGTGTGGGTCATGATCTTCAAGAACAGGGCGGGGGAACTGCGGCCCTCTTTGAGTGTGTGACTTGTGCTAGGACCAGATCTCTTGGCTGAAGAAGCGCCGCTCGGACCGGCTGGAGGGTGATTGCTCTTATGTTTTCTCATCACTTCATTGTCCCATTCGCAGAAACTAGAGTATCGAATTGAGAACTACTCCAGAGTCCAGGGCCGCTGACCTTCTCTTTCTTTGAGGTTTTGATGCGCTGAAAAGCCACACCCTCTTCGAAGGCGATTGTCCAGCAGCGCGGCGGCGAAGCATGCTCCGTTCTGAAGTGTCTCCTTGCGAGGTATGGAGTACTCGGAGGACAGGAAGACGATGGAAGAATGGGCACCCCTTATGATGGCGGGCCGCAAAGAGACAGAGAGGCTGGAGCAAGGACTGGGCACCCACGAAGCCACTTGCCCAATCTGTGCTTCAGGTGTGCACTCTCGCGGGTGCCCTACGGCACCGACGTCGATTTCGGCGAACTCACGAAGGAGTGAAGGGCCGCGGCGGGACATTGCGCTTGACCATCTCCCACTGTCCGGTCGCCAGGAGCTCACGAAAGCCTTCCTGGCGCTGGGGGGCGAAGTCCAGCTCAGAACGACTGTGTTGCTCGGCGGTGGGAATTCATTAGCCACGAGCTCCAGTTGCCAAAATTTCGACAAGCTGCGGCTGTTCGGAGTGGGCTTTCAAGTTGCTTCCAGGTCGGATCTTCATAAGGATGAGCCACTGAGCGGCAATGTATGCAAGCGTCTGGTGTTCAGCCTAGGGGGTGATGTTACGTGCTGCAGCATGTGCTCAGCAGGACTGCTCTCTACGACGAATCCTGGATCGTCAGCACGAGGCAGGAGCATCAGTGCTCCCACCCCGAGAGCTGACGGTGAAGGGCATTCTTGGTTGGCGTGGGCTCGCATTATGTTGTGTAACGCATTTATTCGTGCAGGTACAAACGGTGGCGATCAACCGAAGCTATCGGCTCGATCTGCATTTTGAACTTCTCTCCGGTGCCTTTGCCGTCGTCATGGCTTCCTCCAGCGACTTTGCTGACTTCACGTCCGCCGCTGGTGGCATGCTGGGGGCAATTGGCTGGCAATCCTACCGCGCGCGTTCTGAACAGCCTAAAGGGCCTAAACCAAGCCCCCCCCAAAAAAAACACGCGGCTCATTGGTTTACATCCGGCACTGCAGTGCGATCCCCACTCACCCCAATGAGGGGGGGGGGGTCGTGGTGCTCGTGGTGCACGTGAATCCGCCTAACACGGCCTTTTGTGTCTTTTGTCTGCAGCAACTGCGCGGCCCGCACCAAACTCCCCGTCGGGATCTTCGGGTTCAAACTTCTCAACACTCTTCTTGTCCTTCTTTTCCTCCTTCGGGGAGGCTCGCCCGGACGGGACGTCCGACATGTCCGACAGGTCGGAGGGGTCCGAGGTGGGTCCGAGGTGGATCCGAGGTGGGTCCCTGGCTTCCCGTGAAAGGAATACTGAATCGTGAAAACTGGCTTTGTATATGATTGCATGCAAAATAAAAAGCATTTTGCTCGTTGGTTCAATTTTTGGAAAGTCCGGGACGGGTCCGGGAGGTCTGTTCATTTCGCTTGCAGCATTTGAGTGCGAGGGCGAGCTAAGTAAGTGAAAGGAGAGCTCTATCCCCACCCAAGCGGTCACCCCCCTGACCCTACCCGCTGGCATGCTGCTGATGTCTCCTGCATCCGCGCCGCGGTCCCAGCTCCCATCACGTGTGACATGCACGATGCACTACCACGCCTTGGGGCAGCCCATAAGGAAATTCTCAAGCTCACCGAGGCATCACCTCAGCGCCACCATTTCGTCCACAGCACCTACTACCACTGCGCTTGCTGGAGGAACGCCCGCGGCGGGCGACGTGGGAGAACGCCATTCCGCCCACGTCGGGCGACTTGGCTGGTGAGCCCGAGCGGAGACGTGCTCGCCTCCTCCGGCGCCACTGTCGACGGTGACATTGGGGTCCAGACGGCGGGTGAGATCTTCATCGCCACTTTCGTGCCAAGGCAGGCATCTCAGTCCAGGCTTTGACGGCGGCCATCCGGGCGCTGTCCGCTGCAGTGCTGATCGCCTGGTCGCGTCAACTACTACACTGTCGGCGTCCACACCGTTACTACCTGCCACTCCGTCGGTGCCACTCACTCGCCTGGCAGCCGTGTCGTTGTTCACCCGTGTCAGCCACCCGACCACTCGGATCGTCAGTGGGCTAGGCTCGGCCTCCCGAAGGACCATGCAGCTTCGCCTGGCAGGGGACTCATCGTCCGTTCAAGTTGAACGCCTTTTTGGGGCGCGGACAAGTCGACCCCGACAGGATATCCACTCTCGCCGCCGTCGAGCTCCGAGGCAAGGTCCATCGTCGCCGCCGTGATGATGTTCTCGTTGTTGGCGTCACCGATCTTGTGTTTATCATCGCCTTGTCGCGCCTCGTCAAATGAGCATGGTCCAGGAGGTGGCCCACGTAGAAAGCCTCTCACCCATAGCCAGGCTGGGGTCCAAACCCCGCAAATTCGACCTGCGCACTGCGCCCCACGTGATGTAGGACTGCACGACCGCCCTGTTCAGCTGCATCTGCCTCCTGCGCTTGTCAATGCGATGCCTCTCCGCCTGCTTAATCAACGGGGCCCACTCCAACACCTCAAAGATCTTGGCTTTGCCATCCTGGTGATTCACATCCTCCAACTTAAGGTGTTTCAAAAGCTGCGCCGCACGTCCTTTAACTGGACCATGATGCGAGGCCAATGCGAGGCTCCATGATTTCCGCAGGGAGCTGACCAGCTTCGCTGCCAATCCAGAACTCCACACTCCTCTTCCGCTCAACCTGCGGCCCTGAAGATCGGGGGAGAAGTGCTGCTGACTTTCCCGGCCGGTTTGTCCTTGTCTCCATCGTCAGCACTCCCGCCGGCAATCTTCGCCTTGCCCCTGCGGTCGATCCCCTTCCGATCAAAATCCCCAGCCTGCAGCTCGTCCTCGACGAAGTTCACGGTGTTGCCTTCGCCCCAACTGGAATCGCGTCCCCTTGGCCCTTCCAGCTCCAATTCTCATCGAATCAGACCGGCCAGCTCGCCCGGTCTTCCAGCTCCAGTTTTCGTCAGCAGCGTCTTCATTCACGCGTGCTCGGTTCCACGACTGGTCGTAGCCCTCCTGGCTGCGGTCTTGTTTCCCCTGCCACTTTCCATCTTCTGACCAGCCATCCCAAAAAACTCGATGCGGTGGTTGCTCTCGAAAAAACTCCTCTTGCGCACTCTCCCCGCTCCAATCACTCGAAGACCAACCACCGGCGCCCGGGCTCGCCCCGCCCCGCCTGCCCCAACGCCTGCTCGCGTCGACAGGAGAGGTTGGGGACTTATCGGAGTCCTGCTCCAGACCAAAACATTCAAAGTACACGCTTTGGGCCTCACCCAACGTGTCATAGTGATGACAAAGACGACCCTGAAGTCTGCACGCCCAGCTCAAGCCGCCCACCAACAACCCAGACATCACCACGACCTCGACGGGCCTCCAGACAGACCTCAATGACAAAGTCCCGAATCGTGGTCGGGACGCCCGCCTGCAAGCCACCCCTGGATCGAAACCGCTCCAAAACCAATGGCTCGAGGACTCTAACCTCTTGCGCATTTCAGGGCTTCTCACGGCTGCAGTCGGTTGAAAGACTTCGCTCGGATCTTGCACTTGTATGCTTCGACACCTCCAATGCCAAGGCCGCCATACGGCACTGGAGTGCCCCGCAGGTCGGCGCCCGGCGACCTCCTGGGCTCCTGCTCCTCCTCAGCCCTTCGGTGGGGGCGGCTTGACAGCGGCGCCCAACCCTGGCTGGCCCCTGATGCCTTCTTCGACATGTGGCGGCGCGATGGCTCCGGGAAGGGAGGCACCTTGGGCCGACCGATTGCCTTCGTCTTGCTGAGCCTTCGCTTGCGCGCAATGGCGAAGAGTGGTTGCTTCACCGCCAGCGCCCTCAGCCGGTCCACAACACATGGAGCATCGGGTTTTTACTTCCGTAAGTGTAGGTGTGTTGTTTGCTGAAGGAGTTGGTCTTCAAAGTGATACTACACATTGGATGACCCAAGAGCATGCGCCAAGGGCTGGACGCGAGTCCATGCGCCCGTGGGCGAGGTCATGCAGGTTCCCTGTCAGGCCGCCGTGCGCACCCCGGCACCGGCACCGAGTTTTCGGGCGGTGTGCCCGGCGCAGTTCGCGCTACGACCAAAAGGGGCATTGCACCTTCCAGTCGTCGACCTGCGTGAGCGCTCCAGCCGATAGCTTCGGTCGATCGCCACGGTTTGTACCTACGCGCATATAGTTTATAATGCGTTACACTACAAACGTCAAGCTAACGAAGTGTTTGACGATGATGATGATGGTGATGACGATCAAGCTGATGATTGTCAATGTGTTGTTGATGAACAGGAAAGTATTGTTATCATGATGTTGACCTATGTAGTCTGCAAGCCCCATGCCAGGAAGACCAACGGCCTCAGCAGCGGGTCCAAGCGGTACCGAGCACGATTCGTGTTCGTAGGCCAGAAAATTGGGAGCTTCAGCTCAGGGGGCTTGCAGCCTCGCATAGCATTGCTAGACTGTCCATGTGGAGAGCTGCCAAAATGCATCCACTCGCATCTTAAGAAGCAGATACCTGGAGAGGTGCAGGTGGCTATTCCCTTCCGGTTTTGCAGCGATCGGGCATCCCAGAGATCCGAGGGTTCATGGGGTTCCCGTGGCTCGGATGAGAGGAACAGGCAGGCAGTCTGACAGTCTTGAGCCGTGCTGTCCGGAAAACTGAGATCAGTACCGTAAGTTTCGTTCGTGCGGGTTGCATGCTTCGAAAAGCCGTCTGAGCCTGTTGAAACCTTCAGGGAGAGCTGTGGTGCTGTATGGTGCAACCTAGAGATCGCATTAACTTGCCGAGAGAGGAGTATCATCGAGGTAGCAGGGTTCTTTTGTTGCGTCTCACTTATCCTAGGATCAGTGGCGAGTTCCTGGTGTGCCAGAACCCCGCCGCTTTGCTTGCAGGGCCCAGCCAAAGTCTGTGACCCTCTCCAAACTCGGAGCACTTAAAGCGTACAGCCTTGCAAATCATCATCTTGAGCTCAAGAAGACTTAAGGGCGGGGTCTGCTATTTTGTTATTCACTAGGGCATCATTCTGGCATGACTTTCGCGCTTTCGACTGTGCACTTGTCAGAAGGCAGATTTGCTCCACTCCCAGTTTAGCTTCAGACCTCAGGATGTGGCCAGCAAGCACGTGAGCAAAGTCTACGGCAAGGCCGTGCCCTGTTGATTATGAGTGGAGAGGATCAAGTGCATGAAACCCACGCTTCGTTTCGGTTCGCTTTTCGGTGTCATTTCCGGTTTGGTTCTTCTTCGGCTTCCGCGATTCGATCCTCTTCAAGCGACTCGCTCAACTTTATTGTTTAGCTCCATCTTTCCGGCAGGCTGCCATTGGCGCTCCCCCGATGTCAGCGCTTCCGGCCGAATATGTCTCGTGTGTTGTGTTTCGGAGTTTTCTCGGGATCCTTTCGAAAGGTGAGGGTTGTCTTTCTCGACGAAGTATGTTAGAAGTATGTTGAGAAGCCCCATTCACCCTCCCGAGCGGGTCCAACCGTTTACCTTCTACATGTACCTGCCTTCCTTGGTGAGCTGCTGGGGTCACTGCTTTGTTCGTTGGATCTGTCAGAGGTGCTTGAGCGTCTGGGAAGTGTCGCAGTGATCTCCAGGATGTATAAGTTTCTCACAGGTGCCGCACCTCGATGCCCGGCGAATCGGTGGGCAGCCAGTGCTCCTCTTTGGGCCATTCGCGGGCTTCAGTCCAAGGCAAGGTTGTGCAAGGTCGCACCCACTCGACTGAGTGATTGCAACACGTCCCACTGGATGTGCGGCGCAGGTTTCTCAAATCCGGCTCCCTGACCGACCTCTTCAGATCAATCAGGCTTCCGATTGGCAAAAGGATTACTTCAGATTAGCCACCCAATGACAGTCCAGCAGATGTTCCACTCTATTCTTCCAGGCAACAGGACTTGCCAAACACTACGGTTCACGGCTCGCCTGCTTATAGTGTAATCCGGATGTCCCTCAAAGTCGGAAGTTGAAGCTCTGCCACAAGCCTTGGAGGTGTAGCAACATCATCCCAGCGGCCGCAGCGGGGCTTCAGAACCTGGACCTCTCCCTGTATTTGCTGAAGCAGCAGCTTGGAAGAAAGCCTCCGAGCCCGAGCCCTTCGAAGCGGGAACGTTCTTGAGGCTCATGGCCAGCAAGTCGCAGAAGCTCGCGGAACTGAGACAGTTCGTCCCAGACGCAAAGGTGGGCAGCGTCAGTCAGTCGCTGTAGCCGTCGCCGGCGCCGGCAGCCGGCAGCCTGCAGGCCGAGGACTGGACCTTGGTGACCGCCGGACAGCGCGTCCAGATCATCAAGGGTGACCCCAAGAAGACAGGCCAGCGCGTCCGGCCAAGGGCTCCAACAAAAAGGCCCCTCTTCTTGTCTTCCATGAAGGCATCCTCCAGTTCGGCACCGAGGCATCCCCGCTGTACCTGAAGCCAGACAGTGCGTGCTTGTGCGTAGTTGTAAGGTGGTGGCAGCAGAGGATGGCTCCTTGGCGAAGAAGCGGCATTGGTGGGTTTCGGGTTTTGACATGTTTTGACAGTCGGGGCGGGGCTTTGACGGCCAGGCTCCCTGGCCGGGCTGCTGGGGGCCTCGCCCGGGGCATCGACTGCCGTGCAGGCTATGACTTCTGCTCCAGTTCTGTCGTCCATGCCCAACACTGGCAGGTTTCGCTCGATGTCGGGAGCCCGGAAAGAGATCCACGGCTTGTGAGAGAAGAAGCAGTGCCCAGCTGAATTCTTCGCTTCGTCGCTTGCGCCCTTCAGCCCCCAGTGTCTTTTGCAAGTGCAGGGGCACTTGAGAGCAAGAACGGGCCAAAGAAAGCACAGTCAGATGTGTTGGGTCCGCTTGCCAACGAGGTCTTGGCGAGCTGCTTCCCAGAGGATCTGAAGAGGCGAAGCGGGATCTGAACCCTCCGAGCCTCGAGGAGCTCCGCGCGCAATGCAAAGCACCCGAGCCTCCGAAAGGTGGGGCCCTAAACTTCGGGAGATGATCCCCAGCTTCGGCAGCCGCCTCTCCGAGGACGCTCGGCTTTGCGAGGTTTACGGCTCACGCCCGCCAAAAGCAAAAGCAAGCGCACGCACGCACGCACGCACG